TCAGTGGCAGTTTGTTATTCAAATATTAACCAGGGCTGATTTATTTATTTATTTAGAAGTTTTATATATTGGTCTTCTCACCTCTGAGGAGGAACTCAGGCCGGTTAACAACATGTGTTCATATATAGTAATATACAAAACAGCACAATGCTTAGCTTCCAAGGTCTTTAGAGTATTTATGCTTGTCTTAAAGGCAGTCTTAAGAAAGAACTGATGGAAATGGAGCCATTCTTCTGCCTTGTCACAAGGAATGGTGGACAAAGTTGGGAAAAGCTGGTAACCCCAAGACTGGACTTCTGCAATGTGCTATACATTGGGTTACCTCTGTACCAAGTTAGGAAATTCCAATTAGTTCAAAACATGGCAGCCAGATTAGTGACAGGAACATCTAGGAGTGAGCATATTATACACATATTAAAGTCACTTTGTCAATTAGCTTTTGGGAAAAGTACAAAGCCCTACATGAGTTGAGTCCAGGTTACTTACAGGATCGCCTTCTCCTGCATAATCCACCCTTTAGGACACATAGGTCCTCTGGCATATGCTGACTGGTAATCGTCACCAAGAAGAACTTTTCATCGGCTGCCCCATGACTGTGGGATGACCTGCTGGAAGAGCTCTGACAGCTGAATGAGCTGTCAGAATATAAAGCACAATATCTTCTGGCAGGCCTACCTAGTCAACTTTCAATTATAAGTTTTGATTTACATTCTATTTCTACTACATGCCAATTCTGTATCTGTGCTTGGTGCAAGTTTAAAAAATATCTTTGAGTTTATTTAATTTAGTGTATATATTTTACTTTCATGTTTTTTTGATGTTGTTGTACCCCACCTCGAGCCATCAGGAGAGGTAGGTAATAAATAAAATGTATTACTGTTATTATTGTTGGTAAGAAATATATCATCATTATCCTCCTCCTCATCAGACTGCAATGAATCTATGGAGAGCTCTGTTAAACTCAGATTCTATTGTTATAAGACCTTTTTATGAAAAGAAATTCAGCAGCCTCCTTATTATTATTGCTGCTGTTGGCCAGAATCCTTTATGGCAATTACAGTAACCCTTAGTCACAGAGTCATGACAGCTACATATTCGAAGTCCCTATTTTAGGGATTGTGAAAGTTCCCCAATTTCCACTTATTGGGTAATAGACATTGCGATTGACAGAAAGAAGCTGGCTGATGCTCCCAACCCCATTATATGCGTGATCTCTGGCATGAGAGGTGATTGCAACAGAGGTTCAGGTTTTGTCTGTCACACCAGAGAACTCATAGAAAGGGGTTGAAATGACAGTCAACTGCTTCCCAAGTGATAGTGAAAAAACATCTGTTAATCATGGAGAATATGTAGGGATTATTATTTATTTATTTATTTTATGCATTTATTAACCGCCCTTCTCAGCCCTTGCGGGCGACTCACGGCGGTGTACACTACAAAAAGGCAAATTTACAAAAGACAAATTACAAGCAACATCAGCAAAAACCGCAATACACAATTAAAATTTTACACTAACTAATCCGCTTCGTCTCATAATTAAAATCGTATCCAAACTCGTATTCCTCGTTCCATTCCAGTCATCTTTACCACATTGTTAAGCGCTTAATTAAATGCTCTCTCGAACAGCCAAGTTTTGAGATTTTTCCTAAAGGCCATGAGGGAGGGCGCCTGCCTGATCTCCACAGGGAGAGTGTTCCACAGCCGGGGGGCCACCACTGAGAAGGCCCTCTCTCTCGTCCCCGCCAGGCGAGCCTGTGAGGCCGGCGGGATCGAGAGAAGGGCCTCCCCAGACGATCTCAAGGACCTCGTGGGCTCGTAGGCCGAGATGCGGTCTGAAAGGTATTTTGGGCCGGAGCCGTTTAGGGCTTTGTAGGCCAACACCAGCACCTTAAATTGATAGGGGGATTGTTCCAGATTCTGAGTAGCACTATAACAATAGGTAAATTATATACAGGATAGTGACCATCATCACCATCTATTTATGTATATCCCACATTTTTTATAGTCATGGTAGCATACCTCACTTAAAATAAGCATAGATAAAAAAATGTATCAAAGTGGAAAATATCATTAAATTAGCCATTAAATTAAAACAAGTCCAAAAACTAAAGCTCTTCACAGATTAGAATCCAACAGAACATAACATGACACACAGAGACACTTCTAGGAAGCCTTGAAAAACAATTGTCTTAATTTGCGATTAGTAAATAGGAAACACTTGCTATTAAATAGTTCAGGGTCGCATGAAGTCATCATTATGGCAGAAAAAGTTATTTCTTTTTGACTGTGAGTTTCTAATACTGCAGTCCTAATGATTCAATCAAAGGCATTATTTTGAGACCTTATACCCCAATTAAAACCCACGTTATAATGACCTGACATCAGTGGGACATTGCTGGCAACTCAGTAGCAGCACAGAACAAACCCTGTGCCTCAAATACTCCTTTCCCTTTTTAAAAAAACTTTTTTTCTTCAGATTTTGCCTGGTTTGCTGGATAAAATAATTGCTTTTGTTCACAAGGAGGATAAAATAACTTTCCCCTTTAGCCCTTGGGAAATCTCTTCTTCCATACAGCTAAGGAGCTAATATACTTTCTTTATCCTTCTGCCTCTGTCCACAAGCAATGTCAACATAGTTAAATGTGTACCAAACCAAATATGACTGGGTGGAATCAATGCCTGCCATGGAACACTTTAAGAAGATGAAGTCAGTCAAACTGACCTATACAGTTTCATGGGCACTTTATAGCATCTTCATGTGGATATTTGGAAAGCCATTTTGCTCATAGGCCACACAAAGTAATGCACTCAATGGTTTCATAGCCTTTCTGGGATGCACAAAAGGCAATCTGTTATGTAGGAAGCAGTCAAGTCATTTCAAAGAGAAACATAAAAAATGGTTTTATGGAACACCGGGGAGGCTTTGGACCTCAGTGACAGAGCATGTTTCATATATTTCACATGCCCCCTCCCTCCTATCCTTCAGAAAGATGGTAAAAACTTGGTTGTGGGACCAAGCCTTTGGGAAAGTGTAATAAGACAACAATAGGAATCTTTACTCTGCTGACCGGATTTGGTATGGCTGATTTACGATGGTTTCAAACAATTGATTTTATGAATATTTATAGTTTATTTTATTTTTTTGGCATTGAATGTTAGCTGTATATATGTTGTGCTCCATCCCGAGTCCCCTTCAGGCTTTTTAAAAATCAGGAGCGACTTGAGAAACTGCAAGTCACTTCTGGTGTGAGAGAATTGTCCGTGTGCAAGGATGTTGGCAAGAGGACGCTCGGATGTTTTGATCTTTTACTATCCTTGTGGGAGGCTTCTCTCATGTCCCCACATGGGAAGCCAGAGCTGACAGAGGGAGCTCATCCACGCTCTCCCCGTATTCGAACCTATGACCTGTCAGTCTTCAGTCCTGCCAGCACAAGGGTTTAATCCATTGCACCACTGGGGGATCCTATCTTGTCTCCTTCTTACCCTTCAGGGTGAGAAGGATAGAATGTAAATGCTTTAAATAAATAAATAAATAAATAATATGTAGAAAGCTCTGTGTAGAGTCACTGGAATTTTCAAGCAGTTCAAGCAGTTCTGGAAAGAATCCTGTCTCAAACCTTGGTAAAGAGTGAAAGCTAAATACTCCACTAAAGGGACTGCTGGTCTTGTTTGGCATAAGTCATCTTCTCTTCTAACATCCTTTCTTTCACTTAAGATATTGTTTTAAAAGCTCAATGAAACATAACTTTAACTTTGCACACATTTTCAGTATTGTTGGTATGCAGAAAGTCCCTACAGTGAGCAAGCCCATGGAAGACCGTGACCCACCACCATCCGCACTTCACTCCTTGTCTGGAAGTACAAAGCAATGCATGCACTGACAACATTACTCTGTGTGCGTTTGCTCTATCTAAGTTCATATTGTTAGCCACTTCCTTGGCATGACACACCATCAAGGTTTGAGATCTGCTATATTAAATCATGATGGTGAAAGTAGGGAAGGAAAATCGAACAGGAGAGTGTTAAATGGGGATGTAAAATGCATTTCTTAGAATCTGGCCACAATTTTGGAAGGAAAAAGGAACGATGGTAGATTACCGTGGGATGTGTTTTGATCCATACCAGGCCCATAGCCAGGATTTTGATTCGGGGGGGGGGGGGGGGGGGGGGGGGGCTGAAGCCCCTCAATCCACCCCCCCACCCCAGCTACGGGCCTGATGCATACAAAATATTGGCAACAGATTCTGGGTGGGCAAAATAGCAACAATGCAACAAGGACAAAGGTCCAAAATAACATTCTGGATTGTCTTTGTCTCAAAGTGGGCAAATTATGGGTTTGAGTTTTTCTGTTTTGGCATTTTGATTGGTTCATATGATCCCAGGAGATCCTGAGACAGAATATTGGCCCATGGATTTACCACAATTGTCTACCTCAAAATAGCAGATGAAATTGTGATGACGTGTTTGGAATATGGACCAAGAAAAGAAATGTCCATCCTTGCTATCATAAATGCTTAAGCAGGATCAGGAGGGTTTACCAAAAGAATCTCATCACTTGGACTTCTGTGAAAGTATTCTCTCATTATTTTCTACTTTCATATTCAGCACTGAATTTCATCTGTTGAATTGTTGGTGCCATAAAACTAAAGTATCCTCTTTTCAAGTAAGCAGCCATCATCAACATACCTGATCGTAGCTAAACCTTCAGAAACCTCTATAACTGATGCTCTAAGAAAATGTCAAAACTGAGCAGCAAGCTTTTTTTTCACAAACAAATTCTACAGCTGCACAACCCCAAATGTATGAAATTATATTCCAGTATATTTTAAAGGGGTGGAGAGTAGTGCAGAAAGCTTTCAGTTTGTCTAAAGTTTGTTTCTATAATTCTGATTGGGGCATGCACTGAGAGCGTGAAAGAAAGAAAATAAAAGAAAGGAAAGGAAAAGCAAAGAAAACTGAAACCACAAGATACTGGAAGTACTGAGAGGCCACATGCTTACATGGTAAGATGCTCTTTCTTCTCTATCCATTGGGCGAGTCACGTACATTCTCCCAGACACTGGGTCGATGTTGAAAACTTCCATAGGGGGTTGGTCAGCTCCCACTCCTGTGATGCTGTATCTTATATGGATCTCACTGTCTTTATCTGAACGAATCTGAATAAAACATTAAAGGGAACAATGAGTCAGCTTGGGATGCAGGACAGGAGCAAAAAAAAAGAAGCTCATGTTGACACATACCCACAAGGTGGCTTATATGTTTCAAGATGAATGAAAAACAAGAGCTTGATGCCTTGGTATGTCTATGTACATTTAGATAGTGAATAACACAGCAACCCATCAACAAAAAGTATAATCAAATTTTGGCTTTAGGAATTTTTCAAACATCACCATTTGTATGAGCAATGTAACGTGCCTGTGCACACATATTATTTCAGCTGTGGCAAAATGAATAGCACATATATTTGTGTTTTTCAGTTCCAGCCCCCAGTGGTGCAGTGGGTTAAACCCCTTTGCTGGCAGGACTGAAGACCAACAGGTCGCAGGTTCGAATCCGGGGAGAGGCGGATGAGCTCACTCTATCAATTCCAGCTCCTCATGCGGGGACATGAGAGAAGCCTCCCACAGGGATGATAAAAACATCAAATCATCCGGGCATCCCCTGGGCAATGTCCTTGCAGATGGCCAATTCTCTCACACCAGAAGCAACTGCTCCTGACACGACAAAAAAAAAAAAAGTTCCAGATATCACATACATTGTTGGAAGAGCCACAAACTCCTGGCTTACAAGTTTGCATAGCTTCCACAATAAGAATGCTAAAAATTGGAAAAACCCTTTACTCCACAACTCCAATAACAACAACAACAACAACAATAATAACAACTTTATTTTTATATCCTCCCACCATCTCCCCAAGGGGACATGGGGTGGCTTAGAAGGGACAAGCCCAACAATCACAGATAAAAACAAAGACACAGTTAAAAACACTCAATAAAAATAATAAAACATTGCACAGTCAAAACATTCATAAAACAGCATCATAAAACAATAGGCTGAGATAAAGGTCGTAATTGAGTTCAGGCTCAATGACTGCAAATAAATTCCAAGGAGCCAAAGGAAAGTGCAGAGACTGACTGAACAGGGGCTAGGGACAACCGTTGGCAAAAGTTTTGAAGAAGCCAATAAAAGGGCCGAAATAAAGTGCAAAACTTAAAATAGGGACAGGATAAATTTATGGTGAACTGCCTAATCGAAGGCACAATGGAACATCCAGCTGGAGGATTCTGAGAACTATAGTTTAAAAGCTCTGGATGGTGCCAAGTAGGCTCATTTAGCTATGCCCTAGTGGTCCACAGATGTCTGTAAAGAGTATAATCTGAAATACACTGCAATACGAGAGCATAATCTCAAATACACTCGTATGTGTGAAGGCTGTCACGTGATTCAGAATTTAGTTTAGCTGAATTCCCAAAGGTTTGCCCTGTGCAGCTCTCTATGCTATATGTACATGGTGTTTAGGGTGAAGTGAGATGGCAAATACAACCTTCCCAACCAAGCACACATTTTTTTCCAAAGGGAAGTAACAAAGCATGCATAGAGATCTGCACGGAGAACCTCTTTCAGGTTTGTAGCACATATGAAAAAACAGACAGGCACGTTAAGTAGTCTAAAAAGCTTGGGTTATCCCTTTCAATCTGAAATTAACTTTCTGATGTACACTTGAACTGAGAGATCTTCTTCTAAATATAGCTTAATTGTGGAATGGGATGGATGATACTGTCTATTCATGAAAGAAACAAAAATGAGCAACATGAAGAAAAAAAAACCAGGGGAATTCCAGACAAGAATAAATCAGGGCCAGTTGTCACCTCCCAACAAAGGATCCCCCAGGCAGCAACCACCCAGGTTTTGAAGCTGCAAGGCTATTAAATGCTTATCAGGGAGGCCAACTGCAACATTTACACTTGCCTCAAACAGACAAGAGTTCTTTCTCCCACCCCAGATGTTCCACAGATATATAAACCTCACTTGCCTAGTTTCCAACAGACCTCACAACCTCTGAGGATGCCTGCTGTAGACGTGGGCAAAACATCAGGAGAAAATGTCTTTGGAACATGACCATGCAGCCTGGAAAACTCACAGCAATCCAGTAATTCTGGACAAAAAATGAACAATTTTTTATCCCCATCCCATCAGAAAATGAGATACTAGTTACTTGGTGGAGGAAAGCAGGGTGAATGAATAAAGATTTGATGTATGCAGAAGACACAAAGAAAAAGGACTATGTTAATAAATAAATAAATGAAAAAGCAAACAAACATGTTCTGTTCTCTGGCTGAATGGACATAGCTTCACAAGGGGAGCATGAGGGCATGTTTATCCTTCAGAGACGAAGTCAACCAAAGAAGGGGTCCTGGTTTTCTCCCTTTCATCTCTGGTATATTTTCTCTTGTGTTTTGAAAGGCTGCCCAACATTTAAAAAAACCTGGGTGCCAATCAATTAACTTTTTTTTTTACTTGAAGAACCACTGCCATTTTTTTGATGAAATAATTGGTCAAACATCTACATTGAAACTATTTCAGTTGGGTCATCAATGATATAATTGAAAGTGAATTAGATAAATGCAGTAACTGAAATCATGATCCAAACATCAATGGAGGCTTTTTTTTTACCTTCTCAGATGGAAGTGTTACTTAACATGCAAATTAAATCCACCAAATGAAAGGGGTGCTTTACTAATTACAGTGCCACAACAATGCCACCAATAACTTTTCTACTGAAATTTTAGAAGGTCGGGTAAAAGAAATATTCCCACAACCTGGTCCTGGAAATCCAGATTTCAAGTAATGGTTTCCTTGATGCCAAAACGGCACTGGATGGGAAGCATTTTGAGAGCTGTCACACCCACAGCCTTCCTTACAAGGCTTCAGGTTAAGCAACATATCAAAGCATTTAAAGCTTGAGATCCAAAAGCAAACCAGAATCATGCCTGTTCAAGAATGAATGAAATGAAGATGCTCATACAGGTAGAGAATATATAATGCTTTCATTGCAACACGGAAGGTTTTACCCATCCCCTCCTTGAAGTGCAACCTGCTCTCTAACAACCAACACTTCCACCTCTCAACTTTCAGGCACTGAATGTGGCATGCAGTAAGCCCAGCAGGGTTTTCATACAGTAAAATTTTGTTTTTTGTCAACATCACAGTCTACACCTGTCACCAGGTGGTGATACTGCCATAGACCAGAGAACAGAAGAAGCCCTTCCTCCACCTGCATTGATGTGCATTCACTTCTCTCCAGGGTAACAGAATACAGACATAATACATCTTCCCCATCACTCACTCCTTCATGGCATCAATATATACTCTTCTTTGTTTCTTCATCATTCTTTCATTTCATAGAATCATAGAATAATAGTTGGAAGATACCACATGGGCCACCTAGCCCAACCCACTGCCATGCAGGAAAAGCACAATCAAAGCACCCCCAACAGATGGTCATCCAGCCTCTTTTTAAAAGCCTCCAAGGAAGGAGCTTCCACCACACTCTGAGGCAGAGAATTCCACTGTTGAACAGCTTTTTGGGGACTGTGGTAAATTATCCTTGAAGGAAAAATAATGTTAGGTAAACTATTTCTATGTTTCTGTCATTTTGATTGTAAAATTTCCCTTTTCATTCAATATTTGGCCCTATTGGGTTGTTGTAGGTATTTTTGGGCTATATGGCCCTGTTCTAGAGAAGGCTTTCATGGCCAGAATCACTGGGTTGTTGTAGGTTTTTTCAGGCTATATGGCCATGTTCTAGAGGCATTCTCTCCTGACATTTCGCTTGCATCTATGGCAAGCATCCTCAGAGGTAGTGAGGTCCCGAAAAAACCTACAACAACCCAGTGATTCCGGCCATGAAAGCCTTCGACAATACTTTAGCCCTATTGTTCCCCTTGCATGTTGGTTTATCTGATATTAATTTATCTCTTCTAAACCGAGTGATCACTTCAATGGAACATGAAATAAATGTGATAGCACTGTGATATTAAGAACCTAATCAGATCAGACTACAATAAGAATAATTAATAATGATAATAATAATAACTTTATTTTTGTACCCCGCCTCCATCTCCCCAAAGGACTTGGGGTGGCTTACATGGGAACGATTTTGGCTCTTAGTTGGGGCCAAGCAACTGAAACGCAGTCAGCACTTTCTTGACTAAGAAGGAGGCAAAACTTTCCAAAAGGATGTCCCAGTTTTACCAACTGATCAGGTTTGTTCTTGTGATGACATGATATCACAGGCTTCATGGCCCTTTCCCAAGTTCCTCAGCTGTGCCAGTCCAATTATCTGCCCAGTTTCCTAGGTTGCTTTTAGAAAGTGACCTAGCTCCCTTTTCCAACTGTGTCCCAGTCAGGGTCTTGGAATCGCCATGTAAAAATATTCTTACTTTTGTGTTCTTCACAGGGAGACAAAATCCATAAAGAATATGACAAATGACATAGAAACTACCAGCAGCAGTCAGTATTCAGCAAATTTGATGGCACACCCTATAGGTTCTGCTCTTGTTTCAGACCAGAATTCAGCAGAACATGAAACTTAAAAATGCCTTCTATTCTAACTTCCAGGAAGCTGCACCCAGTCTATTAAACCCTCCATAACCTTTCAAGAGTTTCACTTCTGGAGTTGTTAAAGAAATGCTATCAATATTAATCACAGTATAGAAGAGTATTATTGTGCAATGAAATGTCTTTTATTACAAAGCTCTTAATGCGCTTGGCCATTAGAGCAGCTCAACTGAAAATAACCATCTCTTGTATGCCACTATGCACTCCATGTTTAATGGAAATCAAACAATGCAAACATATTCAAATCCTTTAAATTAGAACACTTAAGAATCTATTTAAGCATGCCAAGTTTGGCTCATTAAATATCATGGAAATATTTTATGCAGCTACATCTTACTGCTCACTAAGATCCGTAAGTAAGGTTTCAGGCTATTTTTTTCAGAGAGAGAAAGAGCTTGTATGTTTAAGTAATCACTTATGTAAATAAAATTCTCAAATACAATTTTGCCATCACTTCTGTAGATTAGTCAAATGAGAGATTTAAAAGGTTGCCTCTTCAAGTATCATTACGAAACACGCACTTTAATACATATGG